GCAGCTTAAAGGTAAAGACCAGTATTGGAAAGCCCCAATTTCAAAAAATGAAATGGAAGCTCTCATTACCAATCATGTGAAAGAATATGTTTTGACTAATACATGATGATAACAAATTTGCCGGGAAACCGCCTAATAATTCATATATTTGGTAAATTTGTTTCTCTCATGGTCTGTGAGAGATATAGGGTAGTCCCATAGACCTATACATCTTTCTGTGTATAGATCTAGATCTAGTGCTTGTAACTTTACGAAGAATGTGCCAAATTTCTTATCATTTTGATGATTCCAGAACCTTGCAGATGTTAGATGCTAGATGATCAACCTTTTCTGATCGATTCCACAACGTTGCTTTCACAATGCAATCGCATGACCATAACTGGTCTTTACCTTTAAATAAAAAACTAATTTTTAAATGTGAATAATTTGCTCGCGCTCTAACGCCCTTCTCACTTCTGCCAGCCGGCCGACGAAATGTCCAATTAAGAATTTACAAATGAAAAGGTAAAGGCATGCAGCAAAATTCCCATTGAGTACGTCTTACCTCGAGTCTTTTCAATTATGCCGGATTTCTTTTGAAGTAGGTACCCCTTGTTAGAAAATAGCTGAAGACTATCATTACTTGACATGAGATTAAAGAGTGCTTCACACAATCAAGCTCCGAGAATGAAACAGATTATAATGGCTTGCTGTAAATGAATGTTTTCATGCGCATGCGCTATTTATCCATGTGCGGGGGATCTGGGAATACTGACTTTTAAAGGGGGAGCCCAGCCTAAACATCGAATTAATTTCAACAAAATGTAGAAGAACAAAAAATGGAATAGTAACCGTAGTAGGTGAATTAAGACATAAGATTCATGAAGAATAAAATATACTAGCTCATTTATTTTATATTACGAAATTTGTCATATCTTGGCAAACTTGTAATTTATTGTTAATAGCCGATGTTAAGTTGTGTCCTTTTCATTAGTATAGCAAATTGGAAGAGTATTTTTTTTTTTTTTTTTTGTTCAGTATAGTGGTCAGTGCATTTCTGTACATGTTGTACTTATCATCAATTAAGATCCTTATGATGATTTGATTTAATAACTTTTGAACACATTGTATGTTTTACACAAATATATGTTATGATTCCTCGAGCTATGCCTGTCAAAGGAGGTTACTCAACTGGGGAAGGGGGCAAAAAACAAACAAAAGATTCTTTAATAGCCATGTTTTTAAGCGCATGCGCTCTTTATCCATGTGCAGAAGTCTGGAAATAACCGCTTTTAAAGGTGTAGCTCAGCCTAACATCGAATTAATAAAAACGGTTACTGAAGAATGAGAATTTAGAGAGAAGATCCATGCAGAATAAAATATACTTACTCATTTATTTTATAGATCCCTACAAAAATTTGTCCTACCTTGGCCAGCTTCTGATTAATGGACCATGTTTATTTTGTGTCCTTTTCATTATTATAAGGCAAATTGCAAGTTAATTTTTTATTTTTTTTGGGGGGGGGGTTTTGTTTAGTATAGTGGTCAGTACATTTCTGTACTTGTTGTACTTATCAATAAGATCCTCACGATGATTTGATTTAATAACTTTTGAATACATTGTATGTTTTACACAAATAGATGTTATGATTCCTCGAGCTATGCATGTCAAACGAATTTACTCAGTCTGTGGAAGCGGGCACAAAAATCAACGACAAAAAAAATGTCTACAATATATTTGCTCTCTTTGCCCATGTGCGGGAGATCTGGGAATAACCACTTTTAAAGGTGTAGCCCAGCATAACATCGAATTAATTTTAAGAATGTAAAAAATAAACGGAATAGTAACTGAAGTAGGTGAATATTGACATAAGATTCATGAAGAATAAAATATACTAGCTCATTTATTTTATAGATCCCTACGAAATTTGTCATATCTTGGCCAGCTTTTAGTTCATTGTTAATGGTCGATGTTTATGTCATTTCAATTATTATGATTCAGATTCAGATTAATTTTATTGGTCCATATGGAAATTCAGTTGTTGGCATTACATGAAGCACATGAACAATATACAATCGAAATATTATACACAAATACATAATACAAAGTAGCAAATGTACAATGACATATTCATATGGAAACACGGATATAAATCGTTGATTAATATTATTTAATTATATAGGAAATTGCAAAAGTAACTCCTTTTTTATTTTGTTTAGTAAAGTGGTTTGTACATTTCTGTACTTGTTGTATTTATCAACAAGATCCTGACGATGATTTGATTTAATAATTTGTTAATACATTGTTTGTGTCACCCGAATAAATTGTATGATTCCCCGAGCTATCCATGTCATACAAAGTTACTCAGTCTGTGGGAAGCGAGCAAACAAACAAAATGTCTATACAATCCATTTTCTCAGGCGCATGAGCTCTTTATGCACGTGCGAGAGATTTAGAAATACCCACTTTTAAAGGCATCGTTTAACCATGTTAAATCTGAGATGCACGGCCATGTCTGTGATATGGTGTAATATTGTAGCCCTACACAAATTGCGCTTCAAAATGATCAAGAAGTGCCTCAAGAAAGTAAAAATCTTTGAGTGACCGTTTTTACCATAATAGGCCTACGTTTCCCCAAATAGACTGTAGTGTTATAAAACCGTTAGGAAAACGCACAATTTGGTTTCGATTTCCAATCATAAATATCTTGATAACTAGACAGGCGATCGGCTTATAAAAATCAAGGGGGCTCCTGAATGACCCAAATGTTTATAATTATCATTGCAGCATGATCTATTAAAACCTTGCAGTACATACCAATGCTTATTTGCTAGATGATCAACCCCGAGGAACATCCCGAAGAAGACTGCAGTGAAATGGTTTAATTTGCAAATAGTTTTGGGTCGACTGTTAATTTGAGTGTATCATTGCATACACGTACCTCATTTACCTATTTTGTATAGCATGAGTTAGAAAATTTAGAAATATATTTAGAAAATTGCTATATTAAGATTTAAAGACATTCATTTTTGACATATTGTATATTGTCATGATTATAGTGTCTACTTTATTCTTCTTTATATTTTACTTTATTTTGAAAATAATCTTCTATTATGTTTCTTCTTTTCTCTTGATAATATTTCAGCAGTTGATTGAGAGATTTGGTAGATATTTGGGATGTAGTATAACAATAGATCCCGGGCACATCACGTATTGCAAAAGAAAAATCATGGTAATAAGGATCATAATGAAATCACAACTACTAGACCTACTACTGTACTACTGTCATTGCTGACTATTGAATTGAATTGGATTGATAAGGTTTATTGATAACAATTCAAAGTCAAAAGCTGATACACCTTGAATTCACAAACAAAACTGCAACATATAGAATAAAAGCAATTGGCACCTGCTCCGTGTAAAATAGGCAAATATGCTAATGATGCTGATAAAAATAGTAAAATAATCGTTATTATTATCATTACAATACTTTCCCGCACATAATATATGTACATTCTTCACTCCCTGAGGAGCATTCCATCCATGCGCCATTTTACCCTTGGATAGAAAGTCATCTCTACGTATTTGTCAATTAGTATAATGATTATGTTACTTTACTCTAGAAGCCGAGACTATGCACGTGATATTTGAATGCCCTGAAAAATCTGTAAAATGAGTAAAATATTGTACGCAATATGTCAATTCCACAGATAAATGTATAATATCTAATAGGCTGCAAACTTCGTGTGTGAGCGTGTGTGTGTTTGTATTGCAAAAATCAATTAACCGTAACGCTCCATGCCAACAAGCCAAATGTACACAAATGAAGAAAAGACACACTTGCCTATTGTCACACAAATCATTTTACATGTTCTAATGGAAAAGCCTATCAGACATTTTATGATCTGACTGCGATCAAATTTTGACTCAACTTGCAGTGGCATTTAATGTGATTTTTCAGGCATATGAAATATTGATGATCTCGAGATTATGCTTGAGGGGGCGCGATAGCTCAGTTGGTAGAGCAGTGGTCTCGTATTCCGGCGACCCGGGTTTGAAACCTTTGATAAGGCATTAATCCTCATTACCAGGTCCATCGGAGAGGACCTAAAGCAGTCGGTCATCTGGTTGCGTACTAACAAGCATGTATGCTCTCTTAGCAGTCAGGTAAAATAACAACCACACACTCTAAGTTGCTACATGCTGCACCAAATCGAAATATCGAAATACTTAAACCGTCTTTGTGGTACTCTTACTTCAAGTCGTATACACTGAAGACTGTCGTGCGACCATCTCCAATTTGAAGCAAACTTGGCCATTACTTTGACCAGTAGGATTACAATCCACGTATAAGGTGATTATTTGGATTAGCATTGATAAAAATCTCAACCAGAATGATTATGTTTGCATAAATTCCTATTAATGCAATTGCGACTTTCTCTCAACAATCTAATGGCAGTCAGATCCGCCAATTCTCAGTGAGCTTAAAGGTAATACAAAGTTTGGGGAAATTTCAAAAATTAGGTGGATTCTTTACAATATTGATATATTTGGATGCCCATGTAGATGTATTAAGGGTCCTAAAAAAAATTAGCCCCTAAAACACTTCTTCTTTCGAGAAAAATTTGAATATAAAAATTTACCAGTGCTCACGGTAAATTTTGATAAATTTCAAAGAGCGCCTACGGCCGTACAATAGTAGCTGCGACCATGAAAATCACAGAATATGTAGTTCTGATATATAATTTCCAAACGGGAATAGCAAATCGGTCGATTTTAGTCAAGAAACATTGTTTTATAGCTTAATTAATATCTTGAACTTGAGAGGGAGCTATACTTTAGACTCGATTTCAACCGCGACAACGATCACTGAATATTGTAGGTTCATATATGCTTCAAATATGTTCATTTGAACCAAATTCATGACCCCATACCAAAACTTTGTATTACCTTTAACACTGGCCAGAATCGTTCTGTAAATGGAAATCTACCTGGCAGAAATCTACTATAATATTCTTACCTTTTCGAAGAACGCCAAGTAAAGGCAAAACCGTCTCGTAGGTAGGATATGTACTCGAATCCGTGATACAGTATCACCTAACCTTGAATGCTTTAACAATCCTTCCCTTTGGCGTATCGTCTGTACATACAAATGCTCCAACACACCTCGAAATGGTAAGTACACAAGCAACCCTCGATGCAAACCATATCATTCCGTTGGTCTGGTATTAAAAAAAATATGCATATTGCACACGTCACTCCATCACGTGACTCTTCTATTGTTCGACAGTGCCTGACAAAAGCGGGCATGTATATTTCATAATTATCATCCATCTATACAGCAGATGACTAAGATGTACACGTTTTGTTTCCATATGAAATATGTGTACAGTGCGTTTCAAAAAAAGTGTATACAACTATGGTAGCTTCTAATCAAAGAGAGTATAACCTTTGTGACCTTGAATCATGTATTGTATTGTATTTATTAAACTTCATTGATGTACACCAATATTCTGTCTATAAACATAATTATAATCACTTTACAATGTAATGTAACAATCAATATTCTGTTTGGGAACATGTTCATCATATAAGTCAATTAACAATGTAATGTAACATATCAATATTCTGTAAACATATATACCGTTTAAATCCATATACAATGCAGTGTTTATAGCAAAACAAAAGGAAAATCATGTATCATGGTTTTGGGTTACTAAAATCCTGTCTAATGATGCCATACTCATAATTGTGCTGCCACGGATGAATGAGCAGCAGGCTTATCAAAAATATTATGAATATGATATCATTGAGCAGAGAATAAGTTATTCTTCATCATGAAATAGATTTTAAAGTCATATTGGTTATGAAAGTTTAATTAAGAGCTACATGTATTAAAGTTGTGTAGACTTTTATTTTGATACGCATTGTATTATTATTATAATTAATACACTATTAGGCAAGGGCACTACAGAGTAATCCAGTATTGAGTCTACAATTAGGTAATTACCGACGTTCCCATTTTCCAATTGAAGCTCTTAACAAAATTGATTATGACTTGTATTCTCTAGTGGCTACTACTCATTGATATCTCAACAACTTGATGGTATCAGTTTAGCTTTCTTTCCTTCATCTCTCTCTCTCTCTCTCTCTCTCTCTCTCTCTCACTCTCTCTTGTTTTCTCTCTCACTGTTTATCTATATCTCTCTCATTACATCTTCACCTTTCCCTTTTCTGTCGCTTTTTCCACCTTTCTTTCTTTCTCCATTCTCATTCAGTTTTCATGTCAATTTTTCTTTTTCGCTACTCAACATTTATTTTAGTCATAATTGTTCTTCTCCTCACATGGGGTTGAACACCCTAACGACAAAAGCTGATATCCACAGGGATCCATCGCCCCTATAATTATTCTATGATCATTGTTCTCTTGTTTCTTGTGTACCCTATCTCTCCCGTCTCTCTCTCTCTCTCTCTCTCTCTCTATCAATATGTCTGTCTCTCTCTCTCTATATCTATCGCTCTCTCTATCTTTATCTCTGTCTCTCTTTCTCTCTCTCTCTATCTATCTCTCTCTATATTTATCTATCTCTCTGTCTCTCTCTCTCTCTCTCAATCTATCTCTCTGTCTCTCTCTGTCTCTCTCTCTCTATCTCTCTCTATATATATCTCTCTCTCTCTCTACCGTCTCTCTCTCTCTCTCTATCTATCTCTATGTCTCTCTCTCTCTCTCTCTCTCTCTCTCTATATCTATATATATATATATATCTTTCTTTGTTCCTTTCTCTCTCTCCCTCTCTTCATCTATCTATAACTATTTCTTTTGTTCTCTTTTATTCTAACCTCTTCTCTTTTGTTTTATGTATTTCTTTGTTTCTCCTTCAATCTATCCTTTTCTCCTTCGTCATGCATCTATTTCTTTGTTTTAATATGATAGATTCCCTTTCTCCTTCTTTATGTGTTTCCCTGTTTTTCCTTAGTCTATGATCCTCTTAGCTCTTCAATTATTTGTATTTCTATGTTCTCCCTGTGACTTATCCTCTAGCTTCTCTTTCCTTATGTATTTCCTTGTTTTTCCTTCTCCATATCCTCTCCACTATTGTTGTTTTCCCCTTTCTATCATCTTCCCTTCCCTGGGTGTACGTGCTGGCACACAGTGCGCTGACGACCTGGACTCTTTCACCAGAGCACTTCTTGGAATTTTTTCGCGAAAATGGCTAAACAGTTGTGTAAAAAAAAATATACGCCACCAGCCCAGCCTGAGGTCACGCCATCATCGGCTGGTAGCAAGGAAGTAGGGAGAGGTAGCGTTGGTGTGGTGGAGATCAAAATTAAATAGACCAGATTCTTGACTAACTCTCTGGTCGATGGATCAAAGTTTGAGAAAAGATGAGCTATGGCTGCTGTGCATCAGAAAGGAACACTGATATTACTACTACTACTACTACTACTACTACGACTATTATACCACTAATGATAACAATAATAGGACGAATTTAAGGGGAAATAAAATTAAATGCAGTGAAATACTTTTTGAATACGAAGATAAGGCATTTTACTTCCTCATCTTTCACAAGTCTACTTCTCTGATTTATCTGCTTTCCTTTAGAGGAGTTTGCTATTTAGGTTGGATTTCTCTTTGCAATATAATACATTACATTGACGACCATCTGTTCTTTGAATATATAACATTATCACAACGAAGAATATCTGATTTTGGAGTACTATAAGAAATTACAATGACGTTGGCGATGATCAGTTATTATGATCGTTTTCATTACACAACAAAGGAGTGTACAATGTGGGACATAAAACGCATAATAACAACAATCAGAGAATGAGTTTCTGAACATTCGAACTGTACCCCAAAATAAGTTACATAATAATTTACGTTATAATTGCTATCAGATTTACCCAACCGGTGTGTTGGCTCAGTCAGTAGGGCGTCCGCCTCAAAACCGGGAGGTCGTGTTTCCGAACCCCGGCCGCGTCATACCAGAGTTGCTGCTACCTTGTTTAGCGTTCAACAATAAGGGCTGCCAGGCTTACGATCAATTGGGCAAAAAGAATTTCCATTGTCGGTTTAACTTGATAAAATTTGGAGTGGACTTTAAAAGATTATTATTATTATTATAATTATCATTATTATAATATCATTTGCCATGATTAATGCAATACACAAGCAAAATACAAAATACACAAATATATTTGATATGATTTACCGTTTGTCATTTTCTGAACATTTAATCTAGTTTGATGTATTGTATAAATACATACTTTACAATAATTTATATTGTTTCTATTTATCTTTCAACAGATTTTGTTCCATATTTGTAATACTGATTATGACTATATTTTATCGCCTGTGACTCGAGAACACCATCGTTCCTTTCAATTTAATTCAACTTAAGGTTTATTCAATAAAAACATGAGTCGCAGCCCAATGGCTGAATTGGTCATGTGTACAATTAAAAGACTCATAGCATATTTCAAACAAAAAATAAAGATACAATTGATTTGTCAGTATTGAAATATATATAGTTACTATGATAAGATTGCTTGGGCAGCAAAAATAAGAAAACAGAAGATAACATGAAGTCAGAACAACGGAGAGGAGAAACATGAAGAAAAGAAGTAACAGAGAAAGTTGTAAAAATGCATGTACATCAAAAAATATAAGTTGCATAAATGTATTTTTAAAGATTCATTAAAACAATATACGAATATAAAAAAATAGAAAAGAACATATTCTTTTCAGAACATTATTGACGTTTGATATTGCAAGTATATGTACTATTGCTTAGAAAATGATATACAAGAAAACAATCACGGCACTCTAACATTCCTTTTCCTTCAGATATAAAAAGGCTATTGAAGGGAAAGGGAACATAATTGTGTTATTCTGATTTGTTATTATCTTATGGAGAGTAACAATCAGGAAACTTCAACATCTGTGAAAAGAGTATGATACAAATACAAAATGTATATTAATTCATCTATTTTTATTAATTGGGGTTGGCTTTATTGAGAAGATCGACGAAGTAAGGTATGGGGCTATTTAGGAAACGATTGGATTTGCACTTGAACTGTTGATATCTAGATGCATGGGGTAATGAGATGGTTATATTTTTTCCGAAGAGGTAACCAGGTACGACATGTTGGGTGTTTAGCTAAGGATGTAGCGAAATCCAGACAAAGCTTCACCCTTCTGGATTCAAGCGTTGAAAGATCACATATTTGGCATGCATTGGTATAATTTGTGTATCGTGGACCAAACATGATTTTACATTCTATTTTTTTAACTTGCTTCAAGCTTCTTATTTGTTTATGTGTAAGCCCATCATTACAGATTGGGGTACAGTATTCCATGACAGGACGAATATAGCCCGTGTATACCAGTTTCAGATCAGCTAAAGACAGTCCATATCGTTTCAGAAGCCTAAACATAATCAACTTTCTGTTACATTTTGTGAAGATTTCAGTGACATGGAGATCACATTTTAAATTGGATTGCACAATGACACCAATAATGTTGATTGATTGGAAGTTTTGCATGGGTGAGTCATCATTTTATAAAGTTGGCTCGGCAGGGGGATTTATGGAGAATGTCACACGAAGTGAAAAACACTTCGAAGGATTTAACATCATGTGATTTTGACAGGACCACTGAACTAAACTGTAAAGGACAGCTGGTTAGTCCGAGGGATCGATTACTTTACGACATTCCAACAAAGTAAGATCATCTACGTCTTATAGCAATAGATTGGTTCAGACGTTTCACCTGAGGTGGTGCAGTACTTAAGAAACATCAAAATGTATTAGATCGCAAAATGAATGACGTTACTGATTCGTTTACAGTACACTTGATTACGTTTCCAAATTTCTAATTATACAATGTACTAAAATCATTTCGATACTTTCTCGATACTTTCAATTCAACCATTTTATTTCTGAAAATTGTAAGCTGTTTTGATAACAAATGCACATATAGGCAAAAAGACAAGGTTTGGAAAAACGCGTCAAAACGCGTCATATGACGCACATAAACCTAGGTTTATGTTCGACAAACCTACTTTGTGAATTCGAGCCTATAAGTTTTCGAGAAAACTTTTGACGTTTATTCGTAGCATTTATTATAGCGCTCACATCCGTCACGCTGTGACACTCATGGGGATTATAATAGCCACCCACACATTGTTAC